GAAGTTAGATGACAAGCAGTGGAAGGTTTGAAGAGCATAAACAGCTGTGCTCTACCAAGCAAACTAAAACTCTGGTGCTTTCAGTTTGGTCTACTGCCAAGGTTGATGTGGCCACTGACTGTGTACGAGGTTTCTTTGACAACAGTGGATAAGCTGGAAGCGTTAATAAGTTCATACATCAGGAAATGGTTGGGAGTTCCACGCTGCCTCAGCAGAGTGGGACTTTATAGTAAAGGAGTATTGCAGCTGCCAGTCTCTGCTTTAACCGAGGAGTTTAAGTGTGCCAAGGTCAGACTGGAAATGACTTTAGTAGAGTCACGCGACAAATGTGTAAGGGAGGCAGCCCCTGTGGTAAAAACTGGTAGAAAGTGGTCAGCAAAGAAATCTGTAGTAGAGGCAAAGGCTGACCTTCAAATTGGGGATATCGTGGGACAGGTACAGCATGGAAGAGGAGGTTTTGGGCTCAGTTTAGCTCCTCCTAAATGGCACAAGGCAGGCCCAGCTCAAAGGAGGAAGCTGGTAGTCAACGAGGTGCGAAAGCAGGAGGAGAGGATGAGATGTATAAAGGCCATTTCCCAGGCCAAGCAGGAAGAGTGGATGAGATGGGAGAGTGTGGAACAACGCAAAATGGGCTGGCAAGACCTTTGGTCAATGGAAGAGAGTAGGATCAGTTTCCTTATTAGGTCAACATATGATGTTCTCCCATCACCGCAGAACCTAAACCTCTGGGTAGGAGAGGATCCCTCTTGTCCTTTGTGTTCATCACCTGCCACATTAAGGCACATTTTGACAGTTCTAGTTCTAGCAAAACATTACACGCAGAAGACAATATTCCTCCGCCCAGGTGAGCAACCACCAAGAAAAGGTGCTAACACCAATTCTCGCCCAGGACAACTGGAAGCTGCTGGGGACTGGAAGATGCTGGCTGATCTTGATCAATGGCTTATTTTTCCACCTGAGATTGCCACCACTAACCTACGACCAGATATTGTTTTGTGGTCTGGATCAGCATGCATTGTTCAACTGATAGAGTTAACAGTGCCATGGGAGGATGCGGTAGATGAGGCAAATGAGAGGAAGAAACTGCGGAATGCTCATCTGGCCACTGAAGCAGAACAGCGAGGATGGAGAGTCCAGGGTTATCCAGTGGAAGTGGGTTGTCGAGGTTTTGTGGCACACTCTACAACCCGGTTCCTCAGAGACGTCGGATTCAGTGGCCAAGAGTTGCGTCGCACAGTAAAGAACTTATCTGAAGCAGCAGAAAGGAGCAGCAACTGGCTGTGGTTGAGACGGAAAGATTCTAGCTGGCTGTGTACAGGCCGCCACGCTACGGTTTCGTAGAATTCTTGAAAACTTGAAGAGTCTGTTGGTTTATTTGTATAGGTTGTATAGTATTTACAGTCATTACGTTCCTGTGTATATTGCGTGAATGACGGGTGGTTGGGCAGATATTGTGTTTTGCGGTAGGTGGTATGCCATACGGAACCGTTGCCACTGAAACTGCATATCAACGCACCAGTGGGGCTCGACAGCCTTAGTCAAACAGGTTGGCGCGTATGGTTGGGTTGCGGAGAGATTGTGAGATTGTGGTTAGGTCTCAGCAGCAGGAGGGATGTAGAGGTCAGTAAGCTGGGCTGAGTTGAGTGGGGGACGGAGGGGGGTGACTCTGGGACGCCAGAGTCACTGTCGAGCCCTCTTGAGGTGTCGTGGGCTAGTCGACGAAACACTGAGGACGGAAGGTACCCACTTGAAGACCCTAGAGATGTCCCCTACTTGGCTCAATCCAGACGGTTGTCACGCTGGTCCACTAGGGAGACCACACTGTAGTTGCAGCCGTCGTGTGTGCTGACGCGCCAAGTACACTGCAGTCGTTAACGCCGGACAGAAGGGGAGTCACACCACCATATGGAAAGAAGCGTAAATGGGTGAAGCATAGTTTACTGTAAAGCTACGTCTTAGTGTTGCTTATCTTCCCGAAAGCCGAGTACAAATCAGCATGAAGTTTTAACATCTACTCTCGTGTAATGGAAATCATGAACACGTTTTAACCATTAATACTGAAGTGAAATAAAAATGGTAGGCTATATTATAGAGAGTGATATTAATGCTGTCGAGGATTTTGTTTTCCAGTTCACTTGCAGATCTGTCAGATGTTTTCTGAAATCTAAGAAAAGCTTCAGCTACTTTAATATCGATAGCTATGTCCAATGTGTTCCTCACTATGGTGGTGACATATCTGTAAACTTGACCAAGTTGGTATCGCTTGGACAGGGCTTGTGTGGTATAATTGGAAAAAAATGGCGCTTGGTTGATTTCAGTCGTAATCTCCTGCTGAACACGCTGTGACAAAATATAAATGAGCTTATTTTGGATAGAGGGACTGAGGTATTTAATTGACCCCTTGGGCCGTTTGATCTGCTCTTGCAGCACAGGGTCTGATAGGATAACGGGTAAATTTCTAAAAGTCTGTGCAGATCAATTATGTGACATTTTTACTGATCTTTTTAACATGTCACTTTCCCAGCATAAGGTCCCAACACTGTGGAAGGAATCTGTAGTTGTACCTGTGGCAAAGAACAGATACCCAAAAGAGCTTAATGACCTTAGGCCTGTAGCCCTAACATCAGTGATGAAGACCTTTGAGCGATTAGTCAAGCAAATCCTGTCTGTAAAGGTTCATGGCATGCTTGACCCAATGCAATTTCCATATCAGGTTAATAGAGGAGTAGACGATGCTACTACTACCTTACTTAATCTTCTGTATAAGCAACTTGAGGGGAAAAAAAACCATGCAAGGCTTTTATTTGTTGATTTTTCATCAGCATTTAACACAATCCAAACACATCTTTTAGTAAGGAAACTTGTGTCCTCTTTTAACCTTGATCTAGGTATAGTAAAATGGGTACTGGATTTTTTAACATTCAGGCCCCAGTCAGTCAGCGTTAATGGCGTTCTATCTCAGAAGCGATTGTCATCTACAGGCTCACCCTAGGGGTGTGTCCTGTCCCCACTATTGTATCTCCTAAATGACTGTAGGAGTCACCACAATAACAGGTTTCTTCTGAAGTTTGTGGACGATACAGTACTAGTCAGTCTGCTCCAGGATGGAGAGGCTGACCATGGGCCTGTTTTGAACGACTTTGTTGGTGTGACCACCACTTTTCAGAAAAACTCTCCACTCTACCTCTTCAACAACAATCAAGGGCTCACTTATTGAGACAGTGGAGTGTTACAAATACCTAGGAATAGTCATTGACAAAAACTTAAACTTTGACCTTAACACTTCCGCTGTCTACAAGAAGGGTCTTCAGAGGCTTCATTTTCTGCACAGCCTGAATACCTTTAATGTGGACAAAACTTTGATGACTCTTTTATTGAATCAATTTGAACTTTTTGTTGCATAGCTTGGTGTGGGAATCTTACGGTGCAAAGTAAAAATAAACTGTCTAACATTGTTAAGGTAGCCAGCAAAATAATTGGAACTAAACAACTTTCCTTGGCAGACATCTACAAAAGACAAGTTATATGTAAGGCTCAGACTATCTAATCATAGCTAGCCCTGACCACCCTCTGTTGGAGAAATTTGTTCTTCTCCCCTCTGGGAGAAAATACAGATTGCCCATAATAAAAACTAACAGATACAAATTTTCCTTTGCACCCACGGCAATTAATGCCCTAAATTTGTACTGAGCTTGAGCTGCTCCTCAAAACGATAGATTGTTGAGGCTACCATTTCAACTATTGAGTACTTTTAGATGAACAAAAAAAGGTTGTATATAACGGCTGTTCTTATCTTTGTTTATGTCTCATGCATGTTTGTTTTTTAACCCTATTGCAAATCAAATTTCCTCGGGTGGGACAACAAAGACTGAACTGAACTGAACTGTCATAGGTTGCCAGCAGCTGTCCCAAAATGTCTCTGTGTCCCCAAAACGCTAGGTTGCACAATGTGCTCTAGCACCTGTCTCCAAAAAAGCGCAGCATCACACATGTCCCTCTCCTGCGCATCAATGGTGCCATTAAGTTTCCACTGTTCAAACAACTAGTAAAAGTTGTGAAACTGGATAATTTTACACAAAAATGCTTAGCGAGTCATTTTTTTTACACTAAAATCCACGGTAAAAAACGCATTATTTATGTCAGTGGCTTTACCTTTGAAACTGAGATTAGTATAAGGTTTGGTCCCATTTAGGATACTTCCATTTTCTCACTGTCACGCAAATACCCGTAAACTAAAGTTTGTTAAATCATCCAGTTGTGCTCGCAGGAACATCACCATTTCATTCATAAAGTAGACAACACACTCATGACAAATATGGAGTTATAGTGCTTGTAACTTTTAAATATAACTTGTAAACAATAACTTGTAAAATCAAATAATTATTTTGCCATTAATTAGGCGTATCAAATACTCCTTTTTAAGTATTTCACAGGACAATTGTACCTAATATACAACATATTTATATCTTTCTTTTTATAATTTGAAATATTAAGTTAAAATCTGAGCGTTCGGCTGACAAAAAAAGTTTGGGAACATCTGGTCTAATTGAAGCTGAGGAAAGGTGCGGGTTAGAAAAGAACAAGCGCTCGAGTTCTGAGTTGCTTGTGGACTGAGAGAGAGAAAAGCCTGTCGATCGCCCCCTGGAGGAGGAAGAAATAATCACGAGGCTGAGCTGTCCTTTGTGCACCGAAAGCAGACAGAGGCCAGAGAGAAAGCGAAATGAAAGACAAATAAAAGAAGCAATTGAATTTAAAAGCATAACGAAGGAACAACCATGGGAGCCGAGCCATAAAGTGTATTTATGAAGATAAAGCAAAGGCAAACTCTCCTCTAAGTCCTTATACTGACCAATCATTGAGCGCCGTTGAGCAAGTTGAGTAGCTCAATCAACCAATCACTGAGCTCTGTTGAGCAGGCATCTTCCTCAACCCACCAATCAGATGGCCCCATTGACCGGGTCAAGTGCATCATGAGAGTGACAAGCGTAAACAACACTAACGTTACTATCATCAGTGGACTGAGATCGGTGACAGCAAACAAGAGGTAAGTCCAGTATATTCTCTGTGATTTTATATGTTTTTAGCATTTACCGAGCGATCGTTGAGATAGCGGATTTTAGTATATTAAATTGGCTAGGACTGTTTGACATCACGTCTTCGCGTAACTTAGTGTTTGGCCAAAAACGGCTTTACTCAGTGATGTCGCGAATAGATATGACTTTAAGCTTTCTAACAGTTTTTTCTGCATGGATTTACGTGCAGTAATTACAAAGTTATCAACTGTTAAAGTTTTAAAAACATTAATAGGGGAAATATAATCGCCCATCTAACTAACGTTACTGACATGAATCGTAAACTGCACTGCAGTAATTCTTGATAGTCTTTGTAATGTTTTACTAAAAAGTAAATACTTTTGGAAATAGTTACCCAAACACTATCAGGGCTGGACATTAAAACTAACCTAGGCTACTATCCAAATACAGTTAGATTTTACTTATGGCTAGTAACACAACTGTCACTTGCCAGTTTGTCCTGTTGGAATTGACTGACTACCATACTGTACATTTAAATAGTTTAGGCCTGTTTTGTCAGGCTATCTCCACTTATTTAAACTATTTTGTCTCATAGTAACTGATAAGCCATTAACAGTCAATAACATAAAACACTGAAAACTAAAATACAGTCTAAAATTATAAACCATTACCTTTTGAACTTTCAGCTAATCATGTGAAATATCACATTAAAAGGTAAATCAGATAACATCCATAAAGATTACTCAGTACTTGTGTAGTATTTTTTTTATTTATTTTTTATTTATTTTTACTTCTACTTTAAGTAATAGTAATAGCAGTAGGCCTACTGTTACTTGTGTGATGTACATGTTTTGCATCTCCTGGTCTTCCAGTGTTTAGTCCCCTGTACCGTTTGAAAAGAAGAAACTATTCTGAATCTGTTTCTGTTTTATTACATCAGATAAAAAGCATGGATTTGCAGGGACACAAGTGCAGTGTATGTGACAGGAGTTTCTCTGTGAAGTCCAACCTGACTCGGCACATGCAGCTTCATGGTCCAAAGGAACATGTGTGTGAAGTGTGTGGGAAAAGCTTCTCACTGAAACAGCAGCTGAGCAGCCACCAAAAACAGCACCTGTACCCATGCATCCGTCTGTACAGGCAGGGAGAGGCCAAGCTACAGTGTACGGATGCAGCTAAGAGTGTGGCAATGGCCCCCAGCAAAGCAGTAGACCCCAGCTGTCTGGATTCTGAAAAGGCAGAGGCTGCTGCAAAGAAAGCTGGAGGGGAAATGTGGAAAGGCCAGCTAATTGTCACATTCGGCAAATATGAAGGACAGTCTTTCAGGTGGCTGCTTGAAAATGATGTGGGCTGGGTCATATGGCTGCTGTCTGAATATTGCCAGAAGGGTGAGAAGAACGAACTCCTAAAGTGGCAAAAGGAGCGATTGCTGCAGTATGCCAGAGAGTTCCCGCCTGTCACCTTTCATCTTGACAAACGCTTGGAGGTAACTTTAACCCTTTAACTGAGATTAAATTATATTTACTGTTTTGTTTATAAAAAAATGTAGTGCATGTGTAAATCAGTTAGGCACATGTAATGCACCTTCAATAGTAAAATCATCAATGTTTACTCTGCACAAAAGCTTGTGCTTTAGACATAGGAAGTGGTAACAGTGTAAGTACTTGTGTTTATGTGGTACAATACAACTTTGAATGTTTTTATACAATTTCTTTATTTTCTGCATGAATAGGAGTCAAGGAAAGACAAAGGAAAGAAGGCTGAATCTACCCTTTCTAAGTTCCAGCAGGATCCTGACTATGCCAGTGATGCTGAATTGTTGGCAGCTGCAGGTATTTAACATTTAACTCGCCATAACTCTATTTTAAAATTCATATAACATTTAACACGCCATAACTCTATTTTAAAATTCATATAACATTTTCTTACTGATGTATTTCAAACATCTGACTAAATACACTGCTGAAATATCACACATTTTATGGCACTGATAATGACGACAGTAGGTTTAGTATTTCACTTTAATTTTCAGCAGGGTGAGGGATATTGTCAAGCTAGCTGCCCTTTTTCAGTCTAACAGATTCATGTCTAAATTCTTTGTTGGCATTTAGATAACACATACAAAAATCAATTTAATTTGTAGATGTGATATGTTGGATTTGTTTTAAACTATTGCCTATATTTGTAGCAGCTCTATACTAAAATGTTTGTATCAAATATAATTTGTGTTCTCTAAAATAAGATCTGATAACATGGAAAAAAGAAACAAAATGTGTTTATTGTGATAATGCTAGTGTTTGTCATTATATTCACATCTTTAGCAATGTGCTCGATACATTTTGTCTGATTTTTTTCTACAGAGACAGTCCTTGAAGATTCTGAGGTAGCGGTCTCCACACGGCTGACCACCTGGGGAGAGCTCACACCGGCTGTGAGTCAGGACCCTTCCCACAGCCTCAGCACATCTCAGGGAAGACCTTCTTCCCCTGTAGACACCTCTGCCTCAGAAACCGGTGGCATCTTGCTGGAGGGCTGGCAGAAATACTGGGAGCATCCACCTCCATCTACACAAGCCAATGGTATAGCTCCTCCTAACATCACATGGCTGAAATGTGATGAGATGTATGGTCTGTTTAAGAGGCCTTCCAAGTACAAGAATGCCAAAGGAGAGATTGTGGAGAGAAGGCTTTTAAAGGAGAAGATGGAGTTCCACCCACCCCCAATTCCTACTTCTGTCAAGGGAGGACTGCCCAACATGATGGCCTTTTTCACAACCCCTGCCTTCTTCTGGCGCCCAGTTGGTGTGATGCAAGCCAAGATCCGCTGCCCTAGCTCCAACTGCCCTGCACCACCAGGTGAATACCTTGAGAAGAAAGGCTTTGGTAGTTATGCCAGGCAAGTGTGTGGGATGAAGTACAATTACACCCTGTTGACGGAGAAGCTGAAGTGTTCACATTGTGAAAAGATGAGGCGGGCAGTGAGTAAGACACATAGTGACACAGACAGTGAAGATGAGGACAGTCTTCATGTTCAGCAGTACATTTGGCTGGCACACAGTCCCAAGATTTTGATGAACCTGGCCCCGGCCATCAGAAGCATGTTTCCTGCCATACTGTGTGGGAAGCGTGCTATTGACAAAGGCGTGGTTACTCTTCTGAATGACAGGGTCAACAGTGTGTCCATGAACAAAGTCCAGAGACTGCTGCAGCAGGGACATGATGAGTGGTATGTGGAGCGCCGTGACCTGTACCAGACTCTCCTGTACGAAGCCCACACAGCTGGATCTGCATCGTCTCAGAAGAGCATCCTGTCCTTTGTCAAAGCTGCTGGTACTTACACCCCTCCTCTGCCCCGGACTCCCCTTCCTTCTGCACGTGTGCTGAGGCGTGCACACATGATCATGGAGATGGAGAAGATGCCTGTGTACAGAGCCTCAATCCTCAGTGTGACTGGAGAAATCCTCTGCATTGATGGTACAAAAAAGGTATGTGTATTGTATCAATTCATGAAGTTAAGCAGACTTAATATTTACTTAGTCACTTTAAAGTGACTTGAGCCAGCTTATCGTTTTGAATAAGGGACTTTGGCCTCACTGTTCAGCGTTCAAATGTGATGGATACAATATGTACATGCATTGTAATTCATATAAATTATATTGGACAGACAGGTTATTGATAGAAACTATCAAATGAATGTTCTGCTTTGTATTTTCCAGGTCCTTAAGAAGATATATGGTGATGGCCAGGGCACCATGCAGTATATCACCAGTGTGCTGAACGAGTGGGGCCAGTTCTTGACCACAGTGGTGGTGGCAGCTGAGTCTGAGGGGTGCTACAGACGTATGGCCAAAGGTCTGATGGCCCGCTTTGAACGAGCTAGGGCTCCTGCACCAATTGCCATATATGCAGATAACAACTGTTGTCGGTAGGTAATAACACATCCATATACCCTGATAAAATTTGTCATTAATTTAATGTTAAAAAAAAAACAAAGAACACATGCAGAATTTATATTGTTTCAGTGACAGTGGTTCGTCCTTCCTGGAGAATCTGTTCGGGGACTGGGTGCAGAAGGGTACTGTGGTCAGACTGGACATCCGACACTGGCTGCACCGCTGGGATGCTGTTGTCATGAAACAGAGCCATGCCAAGTATGGGATGTTCATGAGTGCCCTGGCAGGTGCAGTGCTGGCCTACAACAAGGACGATATGATGCTCCTAATCCAGGCAGTCAGGAAGGGCAACCAGGAGTTGTACGCCAGTCTTTCAGACGAGGACATGATAGCCTTCCTCAAACCTCACCAGATCAGGTCCTATGTCAGACGGATCACCCGTGGGGTTGAGGTAAGTGTAATATTAATCCATATATAATCTTTATGTATAAGAAGCTCAAAACATACTTCACTAAAATTAACTAAGTTGTCACACTACTATATTTCATTTTGAAAATACTTCCAATTATTGAAATAATTTCACATTTTAAGCGATACAACTGTATAAAATAAATGTGAATGATTGTTACAGGAGACAGCTTCAGCAATTGAGTCCATCATTACGGAGTTCAAGGGACGTGCAGGCCTTGACATTGATGGAATCCACCTGTTCAAATCAGCACAGGCAGTGGATTCTCACTGGGCAACTGCAAGCAAGCATCTTAGTTGTATGCAGGTGGGTAAACATTTTTGAACTAATCATTGTAAAATCATACAAACTCAAACTCACTGACACCATAATAAATAAGCAACTTATGTTTTATAGGACCCCCCTGGCATACAGCTGTATGTGTCAGTGAAGGTGGTGGTGCTGAATGGTGTCCGCCTGAACAAGTACAGGTGTCGGCGAGGCAGTAACTCCTTGGAGGGCTTGCACTCACACCTGTACAATGCCATTCCCTCACAGAGATGTGGAGTTACGCCATTCCAAGTAAGTATAAACAGCTTTAATATTTAAAAAAAACATTGATTACACATCATTGTTCATAGGCGTATTTTACCTGTATCCTCCTTGCTTTTGTGCTACATTCTCCTCCTGTGCGTGTGAGCTCTATGCTGTTCACGTAGCATCAACTGAGTGTATGAGTGTCACGGTGGGTAGTGAGAATAAATCCATGGACTCAGGTGCGGAGTGAATGAGTTATTTTAATATTTTAATAAAGACAAAACATAAAATAAACAAATCAACAAAAGAAAACCACGATCATACTAACTAAATCCAGAACAAACAAGGCAGGGCAAGACAGGCACGGAACTTAACGCAACAACAAATACAACGAACGAGCACAGGACAGCAAACACAGGAAGACTAAATAGGAAGGCAAATAAGGAGGGTAACGAGGATAACAGGTGGGACAAATAAACCAATAATCAGATAACAAGGGGGAGGGACCAGACAATAACAAGAGCACATGGCCCAACATAACAAAACACTCAAGTGCATAACCAAGACAGGACAGACATGTGACAATGAGATGCACACACACAAAATAGCCCATTGCGGACAAAAGACAAATTGTATGTCATGCTGCTGGGTAATGCCCACTTTGTAATCAAAATTAGTTTCTGATGTACAATAATGCAATGGTCATGTCTTTCAGGTGTATCTGATTGCATTTGCTGTGCAGTGGAACAGCCGTATGGAATCACTCCGGGTTGCTGGTGGTCATGGCAGGCAGACGTGGTGCATGGACCCGCGGCAGATTCAGCGCCTGAATCAGCAGGCTGAGGTGCTCTTCGGTAAAGAGCATGTCCTCGAGCCCAACTTTGCCGCTCCAATGCCCTACCCTGCTGTATACAAGGACCCAGACGAGGAGGAGCTCCTTGGAGTAGAGTATGCCATGTGCCAGTCAACCAGCTTCACTGCAAGGGATTACTATGCCCAGCAAGGTACACAATCTTGCATTATAACAATATACATACATACTAAGTGGTCAAATACCTATAAATATCATGCATGTTCTATCCATGACAAGTATGTATGATATAGTTCATTTTTATTTTACATAACATGAAACAAATGAACTGCAGCATTGCCATGTTGTATTAATTTGTCTACTGTTAGTTGTTGTAACTGCCTAGACACACTGGTGATTAGTACATTACATATTTGCAGTTGAGGAAGAGCAGTCCCGTGAAGAAGAGGAGACGGGTGAACAAAGTGAGGACATGCTGGCAGATGAGGGTGTGGACGTGGGTGCAGAGTCAGAGGAGGATCCTATGGACACTGTCAGTGACAAACATGTCATCCTCACTCAATCAGAACAGGTGGAGGAGGAGGACAGTCCTGCTCTGCAGGATGTGCTGATGACCAAGAGCCATCTGCATCTTCCTGGGCTGGAGGAAGTGGAAGCCTTGGCCCTGCTCCTTTTAGAACTGGCAGACAACAGTGACCGTCACCTAGTGCCAGCTGACCTAAGGCTGAAGATTGGCACTGCAGTTGGTGCTCTGCATGAGCATGACAGGTCTGCAGCCAACTTTGTAAAAAGGTATGAGTCTAGGTGGGGTTACACCCTGTTTGGCAGATGCTTGGGAGCTGACACACCTGAGACCAGAGCAGCACAGAAGACAAAGTTTTCCTGGATGAGGTACCCTCAGGCAGCCCAGGTGACTGAGGATAGTCGTCTGTTGTACCTCATTATTAAGATGCTGAAAAACCGGCCACCAGCCAGTCGTCTCACCTCCCCCACTAAAATCACCAATGCAATCAAGGGCCAGTATAAAAGGATTGTAGACAGAGTCAGAGACGATCCCATCCTCAACGGTCTCTCCATTCCTCTGCCCAATCTGAATGCAAAGTCCATCTCTACATTCATGGCACGGGAAGAGAAGAAGGCTAACTACAGGGCAACAGTAATGCCAAATGTGAAACCCCACCAAAGAGTGCTGTCAGAAGAACCAATGCCAGCAGCTCCTACTCTGCCAGAATCCCTACCAGCTCCAGATCGACCTCAGGTTCAGTACCAGAGCCTACGTCATGAAGCTGGGAAAAGGCATGGTCAGAAGCGGAGGTAAGTTGTTCAGTTCTTCATTTCACAAGTATGTGACTTTACTACTACAATATGTGAACAAATCTGAATTTATCAGCGGAATGGTTTAAACTGAATTATACTCATGAATTATACTCATCAACGCATGTATGATTTTTTTTTTTGCAGGGTAGACGTGGAAGAGCCGGAGCTTGTGAACAGGCCCATTCAACCTAAACCCCCTGTGGCCACGTACATCCCACCCAGAGCGTCAGCAGCACCTGTCCTGGTAGTGGTTCCTGCTCAGCCACAGTGACCATCCATGATGCTCTGTGGGGCATCCAGCAGTCAAGGCTTCATACCTTTCGCACCGCCTCCTGAGCTGACATCCAGACCAATCAAGCCTCATAAATCCATGAAGCCTTGTGGGGCCTGCCAAGTACCCCAGTGTGGTGGGCAGCGTAAGCGGTACACGCCCTCCAAAGACAAGGCTGCTGAAAGTAGCCAAAAAATATTTACCTATTGCCCAGCAACTAGGAAGTCCACCACTTCAGGTTTTGAAGGTGTTGTGTTCAACAGTTTTGAACACTTCAAAAGTGTAGTAGATGAGGAACTTAAAAAGAAAAAAAAATAACAATTAGAGAGCCAACTACATCTTCAACTACATCCCCCAAATCACAATAGCAGATTCCTGGGGTATGGTTTGGACCTGGTTCAGACCTGGATTAGACCTAGTTTAGATTTTGCCCTAGTTTGGCCATGATTTAGACCTGGTTTAATCCCAGTTGTACTTACCTACAACCCCAATTCCAATGAAGTTGGAACGTTGTGTAAAACGTAAATAAAACCAGAATACAATGATTTGCAAATCCTTTTCAACCTATGTTCAATTGAATACACCACAAAGACAAGATATTTAATGTTCAAACTGTTAAACTTTATTGTTTTTTTGCAAATATTCACTCACTTTGAATTTGATGCCTGCAACACGTTCCAAAAAAGGTGCATCTTGTCTTTGTAATGTATTAAATTGAATACAGGTTGAAAAGGATTTGCAAATGAATGTATTCTGGTTTTATTTATGTTTTACACAATGTCCCAACTTCATTGGAATTGGGGTTGTAATTTGGTCCTGGTTTAGACATGGTGTGGGTTAGTCAGAATTACCTGTGCACAGATTTACATGTCCTCAACATTATTTGCACTTTGTGTAATTTGCCAAAAAATATGTGTTTTCAGTGAATGTAAATATCTGCTTAACATTGCATACTATTGCACTGCATTACCTCATCCCCTTGTATATATTGTACGTATATTGTATATTGCTCAATGTGTACATGTATAAATCTTGTAAATATATATAAAAATCCTGTAAATAATAACTTATTAGTACCTATTTTGCTATATTTTCTGCTAAATTACTTAATAATTAATGTTAATTCTATTATGTTTACCTTGTTACCTGTTATTGTTATTATTGTTGTTGTTTATTTATTTCTGATATGTAGATATATATTGTTGAACAAATCCTGTAAATTATAATTTAGTACCTATTTTGCTATATTTTCTGCTAAATTACTTAATGTTAATTCTATTCTGTGTACTTTGTTACCTGTGTTATTGTTATTATTGTTGAGTTGTTTATTTATTTCTGATATGTAGATATATATTGTTGACCAAATAAAAAAAAAGAATGTTTCCAAATATATGATTCCTCTCACTGCTGTTTCCCCATTTGTCCAATAGCTAAAGACTGTCACATGAAACTTTATTGAGTATAACAGAGGCTGAATTACTTACCAGGAAGGTAAAGTCTTAAACTTCCATTAAGGCCCTTTTATGAGTACATTTTACATGCTCCCTACAGGGCGAATAGGGCATATAGAGTGCATAATATCTCACATATGAACAAATTACACTTTGTTCAAGTAGCCTAATATAGTTTATTAGCTTTTTTCAGTGATCTTGCAAACATTGTAACTAAAAGTCTCAAGTTTATTTGTAAAGTGCATCCATTCATACTTCAAACAGATATGAGCAAACACATTTGTTTTATTACTTGTTTTTTATTGTTTTAACTGAAGCATTATGTTTGTTATATTACGTGACAGACATCATATTATACTTAATAAACTATTCAAGTCAGAGATTATAGTCTTCATGGTCTTATTCACAAAAACATAAAAAAGATAAAAAAAAGAACAGTAAACTATTTCAGAGGTAAACAAGACTTAAAATATAGATGTCCTGAAGTGTGAAAACATTGGTCTCTCTTTCCATTTGGCCCCTCCCCTCTCTCATCTCTCTCCTCCCCTTGTTTCCAAGGTGATCAGGACCCAGGATAAGGACTTGGAGGGGTCATGAGCCCTGGGCAGGCGGTCTCCCATCCAAGTACTAACCAGGCCCGACCCTGCTTAGCTTCTGAGATCGGACGAGATCGGGCGTGTTCAGGGTGGTATGGCCGTAAACGAAAGTCTCAGCCAATAAATAGCTATTTAAAGAAGGGACACCGGGGCTCGGCCCGCATTCACACACGTCCCAGTCTGTAGCTGCAAGACAAACAGAAACCACCAAGTGTTTTCATGCAGCCTTGAATATGAAACTGAGAGGACTCGTGTATTTAAAAAAAAAAAAAATTTCAGACGAGAAATGGCCCCAAACGGTTGGCGGTATATTTTGGAGAAAAAATGGCAGCGGGAGTCTCTGAGGACACATCTGTGCAACCATATCAATTTGAACCGGAGTCGGACCTGGAACAAGATGACGGCCAGGAAGAAATTCGACAATTAAGGCTCGAACAGGACATTTCTGAATGGTTGGTTAACGTAATGTCACTTTGATCTATCTTTGTATTTGCTAGCAGGGTAGAGTAGTGAGATGCGAACGCTATGTGTTTACTTATGTATACTTACACAGTTTGTAATAACACAATAACCATAACGCGTTGTTCATATATAAACGTGGGATTATGAATTATATTGAGAACGTCGTACATAGAAAACATGCCGTAATGTACCCTGAGTGTAACCTTAGCCGCATTCATCGTGAAGCGTGCAAGCGATTTGCAAAGATTAATATAAAGGTTAATAAAACTTTACACTCACTTCTTCTGGAGGTGCAGCAGAAACACGAATAGTTGGTACCCATTATTTTTTCAGGGGCAGTTTCTTAGCAAAACCAGGTTTATACTGACCCTTGTTTATAAAGCAGTCTGTTGGTGAGAAATGATTTGCGCAAACATGAAAGCATTGACGTTGTTCGTGGGGAATATTCCCTTCGAAAACAAAACTCAGCCACTGCGTCTTCGGCGGTTCGGATTTAGGAACATCAAAATGACTGCTGTGTTCGTTATTACACCCAAGAACACAACATCACAAACGCTTAGACGACATTCTGCTCCAGCGTATCAACAATGACGGATTATGATGACAGCTCGCTCAGGGCGGGTCTGTGTTGAAACGCTGCTGTTAATTATAAATCGTGGGAGGAGCGTCCGATCTAGTGACGTCACAAGATCGAACGGCTCAATTTGAGACAGGAAAACATAAGGAGATTAAAACAAAAACACTGGATTGATTTTTATCATTGTGGTTGTGTACAGGTACTGCCAACACACATTTCAGTACAATCACTTTTAAAAGTGCATGTACCATAATATGACCCCTTTAATCTGTGGCTAAAAAACACATACAAATGTTTAATGGTGTCATAGAACTGTGACACTTCTGGAATGTTTTTTACTGCATCATTCAGCACTAGGTTCAGGTTATTTGAGGCACAGTGCACATACGTTGCAAGTGTCTCTTTTTCCCTGATCCTGGCCTGCCCTCCCGCATAGACGCCACTCATATTGGCCACTCCGTCGTATCCCTGCCCACGACATGAGAAATATCAAGGCCATTTTTCGTAATCCTGTCGAGGATTTTGTTTTCAAGTTCCCTTGCAGATCTGTCAGATGTTTTCTGAAATCCGAGAAAAGCTTTAGATACTTTGATATCCATGTCCAATGTGTTCCTCACTAGAGGGACTGAGGTATTTATTGGACCCCTTGGGCCGTTTGATCTGCTCTTGCAGCAGAGGGTCATATTGCCAGCAGCTCAATAATGGCAAGGAAATTCCCACTGTTTGGCTGTCCCAAAATGTCTGTGTCCCCAGAACGTTAGGTTGCACAATGTGCTTTAGCACCTGTCTCCAAAAAAGCGCAGCATCACACATGTCCCTCTCCAACTGCGCATCAATGGTGCCATTAAGTTTCCACTGTTCATACAACTAGTAAAAGTTGTGAAACTGGATAACTTTACACAAAAATGCTTAGCGAGTCATTTTTTAACACTAAAATCCACGTTAACAACAGCATTATTTATGTCAGTGGCTTTATCTTTGAAACTGAGATTACTAGTAAAGGTGTGGTCCCATTTAGGATACTTCCATTTTCTCTCTGTCACGCAAATACCCGTAAATTAAAGTTTGTCGAATCATCAGTTGTGCTCTCAGGAACATCACCATTTCATTCATAAAGTAGACAACAAACTCATGACAAAAATTGAGTTATAGTGCTTGTAACTTTTAAAGGTTCTCTAAGCGATCCTGGGTGACGTCACTTCTTGTTGACGTTCGAACTATTGTCAAACAAAACGGAGGCTAGCTAGACCCTCCCTCCTCCTCATCCGCACACTAACCCCCCAAACCACACCCCCAAACCCTTCTTGTCGGTCATTGGCTGGAATAGTTTATTATGTTTCAGGGAGCGGGTCGCTGCAGTTTGCTTTTGTTGCTGTTTGTGGAGCCTGGGCTGTCTACAGAGATCGCGTTTCTTTACAGTGTGTTCAGGGGACAGGCAGCCAGCGGTTAGTGAGGAGATGTTTGCTGTATGTGACAAAAAATGTTTTGCCCTAAAAAACGCGTGACATCGCTTAGAGCACCTTTAAATATATAACTTGTAAACAATAACTTGTAAAATCAAATAATAATTTTGCCATTAATTAGGCGTATCAAATACTCCTTTTAAAGTATTTCACAGGACAGTTAAACCTAATTTACAACATATTTATATCTTTATTTATATAATTAGAGTTAAAACTATTTTATAATAATAATATCAATAGCTCACAGCCCTATATTAAAATAAAACCAAATAAAATTAAACAAGTAAATCCAAAATAAAGAAAAGATTCAATATTCCACTTCCATGTCTCTTCTGACCGTTCCCAACGTCAGAAAACCATGAACATGCGAATGTGTGTGTAATTATTGAAATATTAATTTGAAATATTAAGTTAAAATCTGAGCGTTCAGCTGACAAAAAAAGTTCTGTGTTGCTTGTAGACTGAGAGAGAGAGAAAAGCCTGTCGATCGCCCCCTGGAGGAGGAAGAAATAATGACTGAGGCTGAGCTGTCCTTTGCACACCGAAAGCAGACAGAAGCCAGAGAGAAAGCGAAATGAAAGACAAATAAATGAAGCAATTGAATTTAAAAGCATAAAGAAGGAACAACCATGGGAGCCGAGCCATAAAGTGTATTAGTGAAGATAAAGCAAAAGCTTACAGCACCTGGTATTCCCAGGCGGTCTCCCATCCAAGTACTAACCAGGCCCGACCCTGCTTAGCTTCCGAGATCGGGCGTGTTCAGGGTGGTATGGCCATAAGCGAGAATCTCAGCCAATAAAGAGCTATTTAAAGAAGGGACACCGGGGCTCGGCCTGCATTCACACACGTCCCAGTCTGTAGCTGCAAGACAAACAGAAACCGATACTCGGTTACTAACGTAACCTCGGTTCTCTCTAGAGAGGGAACGAGTATTGTGTAAGCTAGCTTACGCTACGGGAAAGATTCATCTTCTTGAGATATTGAAGCCAAAAATTATCCTTAATTTTGTATTTATTGTCAACACAGTGCAGCAGCTAGCAGACCTAGAGCAGGCTATCTTGCGTGCTCATTGGCTGCCCTGCGGCAACTGTAGCAGCCTACCAGTGAGCCCGGCGTGACGTAACGCCCA